ATTATGCTAAAGAAACTAATAATAGTAGTAATGTATGGGAAGCTTCTGTAATGAGCACTAAATAGTACTTTCCTACAAGATTAGATATCTCAAACAAGTTGTTGCAAACATGTAGTGTACATTATAGGAATATATAGATATAAACATATATTCTCAATATAACTTAATTTTATTTTCTTAATCTTAGTTTTATGGTAAATATTAACACTTATTTAGGCTGAAACCCATAAAATTCATACTTACAGAGCATAAATAGAGATATGATAAATGTGTAATGTACAAATAAAATCATAACAGCAATTCTGTACATTTATGAAGAATTAAAATTTCATGTACAAGATAAATACCATGGTTTTCAACCAAACTTGCTACTGTTCTTTCTACAGTGCTAGCTTCAGTAGAAACTCTGTCAGGTCCATAATTAAATGAAAATTACTTTGAAAATATATTAAGCACCAACAATAATTCTAAAAGATCGTTTCTTTTTAACTGCAAAACTTTTAAGGAAAGCATTAGGAAAATATTTGTGGCACTACAGAACGCATCAGTCTGAAGCAGTACAGCCGCTGTGACAGCAGATGACAGGGAGCTCCCAGCCAGACAAACTGTGCAGCAGAGCAGATGCTGCTCTCACATTGCCTGACCCTGGATCCCGTCCCACCCCTGCAGCAGACCAATTACACTGCAGCTCGGGGTGTGAGCAGGCCTTTGAAGGGAGCATCTGGTTCAACTAATGTTTTCTCTGCTCGTTAATAACAGGAACAAGCGGCAGTAACTCACAGAACAGCACACAGCCTCGGCAACGAATAATGACCATTATCTCCATGTAGTGATAAAGGTGCCAGAAAATGTCATATGCTTTGGGGTTTATACATGGTCTATACCCCACAAACAGAATACTTTCTGGTGGGAAAATGTAGATATCTATGAAAAGAGCAGTACAAAATACTCCAGAGAAATTCAGTAAATAACAGTTAAACAGTCTTCCTTTTTTCTTTCTGTTTTGTTGGGGTTTTTTAGATGGAAAAACCTTTTCATAATCAATCCCATATGAAAAGTTGTGGTGAAGTGTTTATTTTAATTTATTACACACATACATGTGCCCTTAGTAAGGGAGCCAAAGTGTCCACAAATTTCTATAAAATTACTTGGTCCCAATAACCCTCAGCTTGCTGTTCCCAGCTGGAAAGACTGGGAAAAACCAATTCAATAAACTGCTGAAAAATGCTTTGTATAATATAGTATTGCCATAGATCTGCTGTTTGTCTGTGTCATTACATACTGCATTCAATCAATTTACAAATGTTGCTGTGTTCCTTTTGTGCTAGTTCTTATGGCATCCTGAACACAAATCTAAAGATCAATACCTTGTCTACTGAAAAAAAATGGACATAACTAATGAATAATTTTATTTATAATAAAAAGTTCTAGTCCCCAAATGGATTCTGCTAATGTTGAAATTCATTTTTCATATTTAACACAAGATGAAAACAAGTACCCTGAACAACACCATGAAAAAGGCAGTGATAAAAACCAGTTCATATTTATTGAAGATGTGAGCAAAATCATGTAAAGCTCTGGTGAAGGACTAAGAAAATATCAATAAACTGGTAGGTCATTCACAAGGTATTTGTTACCATATTAAAGCACAAAAGGTCCATGCCAAAGAGTAGATGGAATTTGCTTCAAACAGCACCACAGTTCTGCTCTATGGAGGCAGCAAGCTTCTGAATGAAGTAATTCAAGCAAGGAGCCAAGGAGAAGCTGAGCTCATGCTGCTTGCATGAGCTGATTCAGTTAATCTTGTGCCTTTCGTGTGACAGAAACAATGCATTTGCTGACTATAGACACATCCCTGCACTGCTCCTGCTATTGAATAGCTGCCTCCTCCAAAACAACCACAGAGCTGTTCAAGGGAGCCACAAGTGACTGCTTTTCACAATCACCCTCTGCAAAGCAGCGAGCTGACAGAACAGAGAGGAAACAAGGACCCTTGTAAAAAAGGGAATGGGTACCTGTATAAGTTTATCCCAGCAAGCTTCCAGAACTCAGCAACCTCCTCCCCACTCCCAAGCTTACAGCCCAGATGTGTACTGAATACAGTATTTGTGTTCCCACCCAGACTCTTGGCTCCGTGACAATGCTAGAAAGTCATAAAAAGTACAGCCCAAAACCCAGTTTCTCATTAATCAACACTGTCCCCAATGCCATGTGCCTTCTGCTCTGATATCAGACAAGGAGAAGGCAAGAGCAGAGCAGATACAGACCCCTTATTATTACAAGTGTTGAGTGACAATGTCACCAGACACACTGTGTTCCAACACCTCTGAGTCTTTGCCTGCTAGGTGACAAGAAAGGGATTGGATCTCCCGAGGGGAACAGGCACTAATCCTGCACCCTGACCACCTGCACCTCTCCTCTGTCTCCTTGTGCCAGAAGAGGTCAATGTTTCCTACTGTCCCACACATGAACGTTGCAGCTTGCACACTGAAGATTCCAGTTTAATGTTGGATATCCCTCACTCAATAATAAGAACCCAGCACCTTCCTAACCAAGAATCTGCAGTAATCACTTGAAGGAATCCCAAGACAAACAGGCTCCTGAGTCCGTGAACTTGGTGCACCCATTGGGCAGAAGTCTAATGGGAAAAATGAGGTACCTCTATCTAGGAACAGCAGAACCCTTTCCTTACCATAAATACTGTACTCTTACTCTACCTAATTTTGGACTGTTAGCACAATTTGCCTTTCAAATGTCAAGCTAAATTCACAGGATTGGCAGCTCAAAATAAACAAAACAAACTTTGCAATGTGTTAAGTGAACGAGACTGCTTTGGCATTGCTCAAGTCACACTGAACTCCACAAGGCCACTCTGACAGACTTTCTCCCAGAGAATAGTTTTATTTTAAAACTATTACTGCAAATTCATAATTCCAACCCTATGTTCTGTTTCAAGATGGAATTTCAACCTTACTAGTTAATTAAAGCCACCACCTGGAGTGATCTGGCTTTCAAACTGATTTCCTTTGTCTCTCTAATTCACATACATTAATATTTTATTTTCTACTGAAAAAAAATGTCACACATGTGCCAAAGACAAGGCAGATAAAATTATTGCAATAAAACAAAGAAAATACACTTCTTACTGCCAGGTCTCAAGATGAATGCTGCATTATACAGACACTTTAAAAGGCTTATAAGTGCAAATTGCTCTACTTTACACACTGTATTCTAGCCTTTACATCAAGATCTCTCCTAATTTCTTCTTATTGTAATGAGAAAGGAAAAGGGTTGGGTTTTTATTACCTGAACATTTATTCAATGGAGAAACAAAGACTACATTATATGTTACAACACAAGCTATTAAAACAATGTGACACTATAAAATACGTTGCAATACTCATTATGGGATAACAAAGCTAAACCCTGAGCAAATAAATGTATCTGCCAAAAGTCAGCAATAATTATACAACAAGAGTTTATAATCTTTAATTATTTAAGAAGAAAAGAAGCTTGTAATAATTAAGTTTTATAGGCTCCTTAACTTGTCATTGCGAGGTGCTCACAAAACTTTAAAACAAGAATGCTTCATCTGAAATACTCTATTTTTAACAACAGATGCAATTGTTCACTTAACTGATTAATTTTAAAAAAGTCAAATATTGTTTTTAAAACCTGCACTCACAGAACAGATAAGAGTTTATTTACTCTCTGATCCACACAATGCATACAGCAACTGCTCAGGCACTCACAGGCCCTGCATCACACAGTGACCAATGTGACATTGTCTTTATATAGCCTTGAAATGGTTTTTGTTATGACAGATCTGTAAATCACCTTGGATTTACATCAGGAATTTCAGAAACTCAAAGATCAGAAAAACTGTTAATTTAATTCATTAAAGTATATTGGTGAGACAGTCACACCTTTAAAGTTTTTATGAAGTCTGACTCCTGGTACACACAAACACCATTCAAAACATGTGGAGAGAAAAGTTCAATATTGAACAATTATAATCTACAGAAGTGATGGGAGGAAAGAAAGGTTCCACATTTCAGAGGAAATAAATTTTTGGGTTAAAAAATATATATATTAAAATTCACTTGATTTTAAGTTATGAAAGAAACAACATAAAACTAGAAAACTAACAAGAAAACTTTCAATAAACTCCAGACAACTTCCTTTTTTTCCCCAACATAGTCATTCTTTGCCAGAGCTCCTACTAAAATTTTATCATGAACATCCATGGAAGAAGAGATCAGTCTTGATTACTTCTGAAAAATTGCACTTTCAGCCACAAAAATCAGCAGAAGTTAAAGAGCAGCAGAATTTTGACTGGAAAATAACCCACTACACTACAAAATACATTAAATAGGTACACTGAGCATCTTGTATAATCAAGTTACAACACAATTTCAAACTCAAGAATTTTACTTACACCATGATGCTTCATATTTTCAGCACGAAATGTGTGCACTATACAGATGGTTTATTTAATCCATTCCCACCTAAATTAATCAAAGCAATCTGTCCGTCCGTTCCCCCCGCCCCCCCAGAAAAAAAAAAGTCTTCAAAGTCTTCATACAGGGTTCTACTGTCGTTTGACAAATAGTGTACATTTAGCCAGGAAAAGTTGAAAATCCTCCATAAACAAGTTACCACATCTAAAAATAAGTGACATTATTAAAAGGGAAGCGGGATGTGTTATTTAGCATAATGTGGAATTTCAACAGCACCACCTCCAATAGACTTTAAAATGCTTTTAGTAGCACCTGGTTGTTTATATATCTTCTGTGGTGAAAAGGTCAATAGAAACTCACCTCGAAGGTCACAGTTGCTAAGCAACTGTTTTCGGCAGTTCTGCAACACTGCTCAAGCATCTTCTGATCAAGCATCACCGCCTGGACTTGGAATAAACCCACATCACATCCTACCTGGCCTTCCAAGTTCCCTGCTGGCGTCCTGCCTTTCCCAGGAGAGCAGCACCATGGAAAGGATACGTCCTGGCACCACCGGCCTGCGGTTCACCAGAGCAAAGCACAGCTCCGTCCTCAGGAACACCACCGAGGGCTTGATGAGGTGCTGCCCAAATCTCAGCATGGTCAGGGTTGATCTTCAGGGTCTGAAAGAGACAATTGTTACGATAAATAAAGGACTGACTCTGCCTTTTTATTACTCAGGAATAAAACAATCAACCTGTCTATGCAGCTTCTAGCAGAAAGCACCTCCTGGGCTCATCAAAGCATTGGGTGTCTTGGAATGTTTGATACATCTTCCTTAATATGATCATGCCTTTGAAGGAGTGGTGAAAAAGGCTTCTTTCCAAAGCAAGAAGTTTACATATAATTTCTTAGTCTTCTCTCATCATCTTGGCAGGGCTACAAAATTCTAGGGAATGCAATTTGTCCCTCCCATTTCCATTTGTCCTGCATTGTAAAAATGTGGATCATATGTTCTTTGAAAAGCACAAACAGGACTTCACTTTTTTTCTGCCATAATGTAAATCAGTGCACACAGGACTTATGAAATAAACCACAATTCCTAATCTCTCCATTAAATACCTCAACTAAAGAAATACTGGCAAATTGAAGAACGTTTATTTAGCCATTTTCCATCCACATTTTCTAGCTTGAGCAACTGGAATGTGAAGACATTTTCTCTCATAGAAAGTCAAAGAATTCCACTTTCATTCACTAAAATATTCTCTCTCCGTGACAAGAATGAAAATCCCTCTTAAATAGATAAGGCACTGTCTCAGTTGTGTCTATTTTAGGTCTTTAAGCCCTAGAGTATTTAAAGCATTTAATTCAATCAGAAATATCCAAGGTACTGCAGGGTGAAAAATGAAGAAATGACAAATTTAATGTGACAATACTTCAGACACATCGGAAGCATTATATTCACATTACCCAGCTTGAACCAAGTGACTAATCAGGAAATTCAGTTTCATATGTTGCCTGAGACAGGGAAATCTCTCCTACAGCCATGGAGGGTCTTCTGTTGCAGTTCTTTTCTTGAAACATTACTGCATACAGTAAGACCTAAACTTGGTTCTTCATCTAAGATATTTATTCTGATTTATCATCCCACTTGTGCCACAGCACATATCACAGCTGAGATGGCCACAATACACAGAGTCTCACCACACAATTTCAGACGGCTTCAAGCATTCACACATACACAGCAACTCCACACCCCATCAGAAAGCTTCAAGCATCTTCCCTTCTTGTTCTTCAGCAGAACTTTTTATACCCCTCACATCCATGCATTGCGCCTGTGTGCCCTCCGCTCCCGTTGGTGGTTGTTCAGTGCCCCTGGGCACTCCATGGCTCGTTGCTGTCAGTGCTGCTCACAGCTGAGCCCACGGGGGATGGGGCTGGGCCACAGTCCCACTCCCAGTCACCACAAACTGTGTCCCTACACACTTGTACCTGCTCCTATAAGAAAAATACACATAACACCCCCCTCTAAGTGCACACACTTTGAAAATGTCTTTGAGAAATACTTGTTCTTCTAAAGGAACTTCTGGCTTTGTAAAGGTCTGATTCCACAGAAGAACTTAAATTAAGGGCAGCAGATGCATCTAATCAAGATTTACACCAGAAAAACATGTATAAATCTTAGTATAAGATACAGTAACAAATAAGATTACTACATTTCCATGTAATAAACATTTTCCAAGCAGGCACCATGTCTTGTGTTTTTTTTGAAAATCACAGATGAAAGGAAATGCTTGAAGAGACCATGGAAGAGTAGAGATTTTAACTATGCCTGGTTCAAAGATTTTAAAAGGCTCTACATCCTTTTCCACATAAAGACAACAGAAGATTAAGTATCTGAGATGTGTCCCTTAGCATATATTAAACTTGAAAGTTGACAACATACAAAACTCAAGTCTCTTTAGCTACTAGAAGAATTGCTTAGCAGAGAAAACACCTGCTATATTGTGCTGATGCTTGAAAAAATAACTATTAGGAACTTCAATCAATCTGCCTCATTTCTCTTAAGCAGGCCATCAGCAACCCTCCGTGGGGGTTTTTCATTCTGATTAAAACATGCAAGAATGTTTTCACACAATTCAGTAAAGAGACATGGTTCTCTTTGCAATGAGAATGCTTCTGACAAAGGAGAGAAACATTCCATAGGCAGGACTACCCTCCAGTAATGAAATGGTAAGCTGGTGTCTCCAGAAGCTGGAAAATCAAATGTAGTACCTGCCCTTGCACTTGGCAATGCTACGGATGAAAATCAAAGTACTACTGATGTGTTCTTCTTCTGCCTTCCAGGACACTGAAAATAAAGGTACTGTCCAGAGGCATGGCACAGACCTAAGCACAGAAACAAGGCTTCAAAATCACAAATGCTAAATGTAAAATGTGATGATTTGAAATTTGACTTAAGGAGGGAGAGACCCTGAGATCTGGTAATCAACTGGAGAAGTCCTCTGACTGATTGCTGCCATAAGCAAAAAACAGCAAAAAGTAGTTGAAATAAGATTGGTGACATTAGGTTGCCTGCACTGTGTTTTCATCATGCACCTACCACATTATATTTACTTATTTAACTACCTGTCTTGTTTTTAAAATACCTAGAAAAATCAGTAAAGTAAAAGCACTAATGTCATACCTCTCCCTGTAATAGTTTGAAGAATCACATTACAGCCCAAGTAGGTTGATCCAGAACTATTAGAACATTAAAAAATCTCATTCAAAGAATTAAAGCGTTTATTAAAACGCCTTCTGTTTGTTTACTATGCAAAACTGTACCTGAATAATGTATTTCTATCTCTTGATGCAGACTAAATAAATGTGTTTCAAACTAATGTGTCAGTTGTACTGGTTGTGCTGTGTAATATTGCAGACTTCCCAGTGCTACTCTCTCCAATTCTGCAAAGGGATTATGGGAGACTTTTTCTTAAACAATTATTCATGATCTATTATATATTACTTCAGCTGCCTTCTGCCCTAGTGATCCTCTGTGTTTTTCTGCACAGTACAATCATCTGTGCTCAGAACCAACACAAATGGTAAAAAATGCATTAGGGAAATAAGTAATGGGTACAAGTGAAATATCCATGACTCTGCAGCAACACACTACAGCAAGGCTGGAATATTCCAGAGTGCTGCCAGGCAGGAAACTGCTACTGGCAGAGCAAGATTTTAGTCACCTGAACTCTACCACTTATTGCTTGCATGGTCTGTAAAGCAGCAGGAATCAATGAGCACAGGTGTGTGCGCACAGGTCGTGAGATGCAAACAGTGTGTGCACAAGGCTTCCCAAATCCCAGGCTGGAATGACCACACTAAGTCTGTTCCTCCAGGGATTTCTATTTTTCACATAAAGAGGAGGTCAGTGCCATACAAACTAGAAACAACACATAATTGGTTAAAGATGCTTCCTCTTTAATGATGGTAGCCTTTCTAATCCCCAGTAATAAGGAGGACAATTACACAGTAATGTTAGAAAATGAAACAAATCCATTTCTGATTAAATTTCAGCCCAGTTTAACACAGTTTCTATTCTGACTATTCAGATGAAAAGTGTATTTACTCTTCTTCATATTGCAGCTATACATTACATTGCCTATTTCATCTGCCTCATTTTCCTAATTAAATTCCCTTCAAGCTGTGTTACTGCACTTGTAGGTGGGAATACAGTATTAAAGGCTAACACAGCAAGTAGACTAATTTTACAGCCACAACAGACCTCAAATCTGTATAAACCATACTAGGAAAAGAAAAAAGAAAAAAAGACACTGGAAATCTACATTATGCCATGAAAAAATCAGAGTGCTAAAATTAAAAAAAAATATTGAGATACACTGAAATGTTTTCAAATATTTTTACAGTTTTGTAAAACTTCAGTAGGCGATGCCATGATGATTTTTTGCCTTTTCTTTTATATACCTTTTATGTATTCTCCTTCAGTCTGATAATTTAGTATAGTCCTGGTATTCTGTTAGGCCAGGAGATCAAACATCCTAAAGGCCTCACAGCTGGAGGCCAGAAAGCCTTATGCTATCTTGAGAAACCACGTTGCCCTACAGAATACATCCTGTAAACTAAAATTAAGCCCATCTAGAAGGAAATACATTGGGATAGGAAGACATCACACTATTCATTCAAGCCTCTCATTGGGGCATCTTTGTTGAATATAGTAATTTGCAAGGTCTATAAAATTGTATGCAGGATCTACTGTGAATGTGCATTTTGGTGTATTCCACCTTGGCCAAATGTTGCACCATAAGGATCCTTATGAAATACCAAAATAAAAACCCTTTATCCTTTAACCATGCCTGGCTCTTAATTTTATATCCAAGAAAAAGGTATCACAAGCACATGGCATTTCCCCAGTCTGTATAAGCACTACTCATATATTAAATGTATTTTGTGAGAAGAAATCTGTACATGTCTCACTTTTCCAGATTTATTCAGTTTCAGGGTTAGGGGCTTTGTTTTGTGCTTCAGTTTTTAAACAGCATAAGCTGTAGAATAATTTGTGTCAAATACACAGTGAGAACTCTGAAGAGAAAATAAGTTCTCTTCTGGACAGAAGGTAAGTTCACCTAAAAACAGGTGCACAGGACATCAAGATGGGTATCTGCTTGTTACAGGTCATGGTTAAAATCAGAGACCTGGAAAAGTGCTGGAAGTTTGCTGACTACAAGGAGTGATGGCAGCAGTTCTTTAATGTTCTCTTCCTGCTGCCACAGGCCTCCCCGCTGGATGCTTAATTGAGATGGTGTTGGTACTCCAAAATCCCTTTTTATTTTTTTTAAATACAATTACTCCTCCTTAGAACAAGGTGTTGAGATCAGCACCTGCTGGGAACCAAGCTCAAGGCTTTTGCTGAGAATCCCCTGAGCACTGTTTTAGGAAAGCTGCACATCTGGCTGTAAAGGGAGAAGATGAGAATGCAAAATGGGCTGCTAACTTAAATGTGTGCATTAAAGGAAACCAATTACAATACCATTATCTCTCTGTGCTAATAGAAAGGACTGGTCTAGAAACACTCCCAGGAGTATTCTTAAATTTTAAAGTTTATTTTACCATATTAACATCACCTCTTCAAAATTTTGACAGTCCTGATTCCAATACTCAATTTCACTGTAAAAACACTGCA